TATCACACGCGATGCTTGACTTCCGCGACCCCGGAGTGCAATGTGAGAAGTGAAAAATCAGTTACTGTGCCCAGTAGGCTAAATGCTCCAATTGTCCTTTGACGGTTGAACAATTTGACCCTGCCAGCCCGCGTCGGTTTGAATTGTCGACGTGACGGTTGGAGTCCGTTGCGGGTCTGCTCTCGACACGCCTCACCTCAGCCGTGTATTGCCCACTTCGTTGGCGATTTAGGACCTTCGAAATGGGAATTTTGGCGATGTGAATGATGGAAAACGTGCGTTATTTATCAGGACATCTGTTTCTGGCGGAATTGTCTCCATGTCGCAAGTGTCACGGAATTTATCGCCGCCGAGAGCGGAGCCGGTCAAGAGAGGTTTGCCAACCTTCTCTTCTCCTCTCTCTACTGTCATCTAGGTGAAAAACTGTCGCTCCAAAAAAGGCCTTAAACAGTGCCTAGGAGGTCTGAAATGCAGTCAGAATACAAAGAAAAACAAGAAGATGCTAAAGGTAAGCTTCAAAGCGATATTCAATGTACATTTTGCTAATTTAGTGAGCAAAGAATATTTCTCCATACAACGTCTTATAATTTTCTTGCTGTATGAATAATTAATTAGCTAAGTAGGATAATGTTGTTCAGGGCTCTCATAGTGAGCTTGGGCTACCTGTGGTATTTGTACTTACTCCATGATAGAGCTTATCATCATAACTCAGCACGTGAAAGACCACCCCAATCTAAGAAAAACATAGTCGATGTTACAGCTGAATGTAAGCTCTCTTTGGTTTGATCCATCGGTGTCAATCAGTTTACATTGTGTTGGAGTAATCATGTCTGCAAGGGTAGCATTTCTTGCCTTGATTTCAACGACCTTCGCGACCAGCATATGGGCAAGTGTTGCAGGTAGGCGGACTGCGATAACACAAGTCAAAGAAATAGGGAAACAATACAGTGTTTTAATGTCTTTAAACGCCTCTGACGTAGTTTAACAAAGAATTATCTAACGACTCTCATCACTAGAGGTTTTAACTACGAAAGTGATCTCACTTACGTTTAATCCGCTAGTTAGAGACGTCATTCTCTTTCATCTTCTTTCCTTTTTCAAAATAAATGAAACTTTCGAGAACTTTTGGAGAACTGTCTCGAAAAGAGTTTACTTTGTCAGGCAGGGCGAGTCTCAACATGATTTCTTACACAAAAGCGGTTTCGATTACGTCTAAAAGGTTATAGGTTGAGTCGCAATGAACATTAAAACTTGATTAACAAAACAAAATGATCATGAGATATGATCGATAGTGCTAGTTATTTAGACGCCTGGTATGAGCCGTAAACGTCACTGCTAGGGCACTTACATACAATGAGTAAAAATGGTAAGTGACTTTAAGTCCTGGATCACTGACTTTATTCTTCAGTTTGGTTTTCATGGTATTTTATCCCGAATCACGCATCGTTATTAATTGTCAAGTAGAACGAACTTCTCTGGTTGGATTCACGGCTGGACCAGTAAACAGCCGAGAAGGGGTACTCAACGGAGGCTGAGCCCCGAGGTACAAGCCCTTACCCTCATTATACACCATATTTTGTTGAGAGAAAAGGTGCCCCTTTTGTATAACTTCTATTGAAAAATGGTACTCCTTTCACATACCTATATTTTAGTACTTTCCATCCCTTTTAACTGCTGTAATTCACTGTCTTTGAAATATTCATGAATAGACCCAATAACAAAAACGTTTCCTCGACTTTTTCATAGCGATAAAATGCATTTGTTAGCCCTTTAAAGCCTTTTTACTACAGAAATCTCAGATTTTCTTACTTTTTCATATACCTCAAGTGGTGAAATCCCCGGCTATTCTTTCATGTACCTGAAGCCTGAAAAAGTTGCCCATTTCGGGCGGAGCCTCCCCGTATAGGCAATTATAGGGAGTACCCCTCCTTCCCTGGGGTCTTTAAGCAGAATATACTGCCTTTGCTCTTGGCATGAATAAGGAAGAAAAACAAGTGGTTGTAAAGGTTGGGAGAGAGCACCACATATAGGGCTCACGAGTTCATTTTGTACCAGTCTTCTTTTGCTGAACCCTCAGGTAAGGGCGTGACCAAATTTCCTTACGAAACTACGACGGCGAAGGGCAACGGAAGCCGTCTAAAATACAGTAGGTTTTGTGAGCAAAACAGTAGTTTTGCAAGTACATCACGCTTTGTTGTACATGTTTTGCCATCCTTGCACAACTTTGACGTGAAATGACCAAATTTTGAGTTGACTTGGAATAGGAACGCAAGGCGATAAATTTTACTATCTCTTTCTGAACTCGGAGGCTGTCCCCTTTCTTTAGTTCCAACCTAACTTCCCTAATTTCAAGCAGTAACTGGGTGACTTGACTTAGTGTAAGGGTGAAAAAGTTTCAGAGGACGCCAAGTCGTTTTTTACGCGAAGTTTTCAGTGGCGTAGACGTTGTGGCATGGTAAGGTACCTACTAAATTGATCGAACAACTAAGAGAACGACACCCGCCGCGAACGGGGGAACCGAAGTATAAACGGGGGAACCCAACGTCTTTTTTCTGCACATTTCCTAGACTGAAATTTCCCTAAAAGCTTGAGAAAATTTCTGGATAACCATTCCGCTCGTCTAAGATGTTCGGAGTTTTCTACTAACCCTAGCTACGATTTTTTTTTTCACAATTTGTCACCAAGATATTGTGATTATTAAAAGGTTTCCAGAAAATTTGGCTGTTAAGACAGAACTTCCCCAAGAAACTTGTACTAGAATTACGGCTAGCTAATAGTTTCGCGTGAGACAAAAAATCAAAGCTACCTAAAGCTTGCAGCTCTAACTCAAAGTAACAAAAAAGGCCTCTAAAGCATAGTGAAAACCATTTGAGACACTTCAGATGTATTTGGAAGCATTCGGTCGTTGCATGGATACCCCTGTATGTAGTATCCAGTAGTAAAGGTACAAACTATGTACTATGTGCCATGCATGTATAGTGTGCTATTGGCGCTATGAGAAAACCATGGTGTCCACAAAGAACGGACCGGAGGCAACGAGGCTGAACAAGATTGGAAAGACCGTAACCTTTTCAGAATGAACTGATGCTAAGGACGGCTTGAATTCTGGTTGAATACTAATGAGGCGCAGTGGTGAGAGCACTCGCCTCCCGCCTTTGCGCGAAGTCATATGTAGTTAACGGCTCATTACAAGTGCCAATGTCAACTTTACACATCCCCCGGGTAACTGTATTTAAAAGACCAGCATTGATTTCATTTTACAATTCCACAATTAAATGATACCAAAAAACCAGTTCACTGACTATATTTCCTGACGGGAGAAACATGGAATGTTATGTATTTCCACAGGTATCAAGTATTTTATGGCGACATGTGGGAAACAGAGCTGTGACTCAGTTTACGCCTCGTTTGGTCTTCAATGTGCTGGAACAGGCCAGAGCTTTCCAAACTCATCTGTTTTATCCATATTTAAGTCTTTAGGAATTACCTGTGATACGAAAAACAACACAGATTATTACTTTTACAAAGACCATCCAAACTTTGTATCTGCCTCGCCGCCATCCAAAGATCTGCAATGGGCAGGTAGATGCACTGGATTCAAAGCTATACCCAGTACTATTGACTGTTACACGGCCAACAATAACAACGTCCGTAGACTCTGCCCATGTAAAAACCCTTCAGGTGGGTGTTAGCTTTTGTTACTATTTTATCATCAAATCTCTCTTCTTTTCTTCGTGGTTATCACCCTGCTTTTCCTCTCCCCCTCCTTTACCTTTAATTCATTTTTCTCAGTTTTAAATCAGTCTTCATTGTTAAGCAGTTATTTTGAGATTTTAGCCAATTCTACAAGACATAAAGGTCCACGTGTCGTTTCACCTTGACAGCATTTGCTCCTCTCTCGCTCATTTATACGTGTTTTGTACAAGTAAACTGGAGATGCAAGATATAACGGCCTGTTTTGTTTTCAATATTGCTGTAAATAGGTACATGAATTTAACCCTTTCACTGCCGGAGTTCTTGATAGAGTTTTGTAAGGTGACTCTAACTTTTGAGTCTGTGGACGAAATCGTATGATGTGACCATTCAAATGAAAGCTCTCTGCCTGTACTTGCACATGGTGCCATTTATTTTTCAAAATTTCACAAAATGAAATTTGGAAATTTGGTCGAAATTTGCTTTTAACTAAATTTGGCAGTGAAAGGGTTAAGATTATATAGCAAAAACATGTAGATAAAAAAGGCGCCGAATAAGTCAATTCAGCAAAAAGGCAACCTGTTTCTTAGCATGCTCGGAGTAAACGTCCAACTCAAGAAATTTCTTGAAGAAGTGATCAGTTCTAATTTATCAGTCACCTATGCAGACATGAACCGGGAGATATTCCATTACTGAGCAAACTGGCCATGGAGATGAAGATGTTTTTAATGGCCTCATCATTTCCTTTCGGGGTCCAAGTAGCCTGCGTGGCAGTCATCGGAAGGGGAAGGGGGAGGGAGGGAATAACGGAAAAGAGGAAGTGCAAGATTTCTTGTGAACGTTATTGATTGTTCTCTCGCCTTATTCCTTTCTTGATCCTGACAGGAACCAAGTCACCAACGCAGTCGACTCCAACACTGACTACGCATATCATGATCATGAGATAAAATCTTCGACCTCAGGAGGAAAAGTATCATCTGCTCAAACCAGAGCTTCACAAGAGCATTCAACTGGAAATAATGCGCCTCAGCGTAAAACAGAGAATGAAGGTTCCGTTTCATCAGCTTGGGTTGTTGATTTCAGTGAGCTTCACTGCGAGCAATAAGTTCCTTTCATCTACAGTTAGGTTGGCCTGTCTACAGAACAAAAAGCATGATACTTACGACATTGTTTACACGTTAATGGACACTGCTTTCTTACATTAGGGTAACTTGCACAGAAATTTATCCACCGATGGCAGTTCACATCGTTATCTTTACAGGAAGCAGCTAAATGAAATAAAAAGAAATTAATTGTCAAATAATGCATCGAATTCACACTAAAAATACACAGAATTTTGAAATTAATTAATTATTTTTTAAAATTAATTAATAACATTTGCTTGAACGTTTATTT